AAATAGCCTTCAAGCTTCTACCATAAATGTACACCAAAGGTATTTAATTCATTTGGTTTTATTGCCTTGCTATAACATATCTACTTGCACTTCATCATTCTTGTATGACCAAAATACCAGATGTGGATACTCAGAGAGCAAAATGTACTACCAACTGCTTATGAAATTTATTATTGAGGTAAAACTGTATTAATCATTCAAATTGTGCACTTATAATGCAAATATAGGGAAAAAAAGAGAAAAAGAAGAGTACAAGTATTAAAACCACAATTGAATTATTAACACCATTGCAAGCATAGGTGTTTGATGATTGTTTGCGTTTTGCCTAATTCATATATCAATACAACAAAGTCAAAATGTGCTACAACTTTACAAGTATTTAATGCAGTTCCATTTGAGCACATCACAAAAAGCTTCCATACAATATTGTTTGTTTTCATTTACCTATGCAAATTTGAGTCTTTTTGAAATTTAATATGAAACTCGATTACAGAAAATCCTTAAATATCGAAAGCTTTATTATTTATTTTTTAAAGCAACAAGTAAAGATCCTTCAATTTTGGAGAAAAAGCATTGCCCATTGCATGAAAAGAAGCAAAATAGCAATGATAACAAATAAGCTCACTTTTTTCTTGTGAACCGTGGAGATAAGCTATGATATACTATATTGTGTAGCCGAAAGAGTTTAATCGAGCAAACAAGTTTGACACTGGTAAAAAAATGACGCACATCTGCATTCATATATGTGTATCCGACAATTAGCTCTTTCGTCGCTAGTTATAAAAAGCATCCTCGTAGCAGCCAATAACTGACAACCACAGTTAACTTGCTGTTATGAGTTTAAGGTTTTTACCTTGATTTTCTTTAAAAAAATTTTTTTCCGAATTTCAAATACACACATACATTTTGTGCATCTGGAAGTGGGAAATTGTGAAACTTTCGGAAAAGTTGCAAATTTCGGTAAATCTCAGCGGCAAAGGACGAAATCCGAAATCCTCCATTTTGTTGGCGTCATCCAATATCTAAAGCCGTGCTTGAGATAGCCGCTCCAGTTATTATAGAACTAAATGGAGTTAGCATTCCAGATATGTTTACTTCAATGGGCTGAGTTAAAGCTTACTCATGCCTTCAACTAACTCAAAACTTGCAGGCAACGACGTTGTTGTTTTTTAATTATGCACGAATATTGAATATTTACGAAATACCGTACGACGTAACTAAAGTTTTATAAAACTTCATTTAATTTCCTTTGAAGTTATAAAACTTGACACAATTATATGCTGATTTTGTGAATAATGCTTCAAACTATTTTGACTTTACAAAGTGTAATTCGTAATGAGTCATTGAAAAAGAATCATTAATTTTCGGGATTTTTGAACCACGTCATGCGACGTACTTGACATAGTCTGGATCCGCCCCTGATTTTACTCAAACTAAAGTAGATGGTTTGAACCCGGGAGTATCGTCACAGTATAGGGATATACAGTAGGTGCTCTTCGTGTGCAATTGGCTGCTATATTTAAATAATTAGATTACTAGCTGCCGTTAGCCATTTTATCATTTCGATTGGTCAAAAAAAGCAATTTACTGGCTGCCACTATGGTAATCACATGCGTGGCACGAAAAATTTCAATGGACTGGCTCTATTGTATATTCCCTATAATATGGTATCGTGACATGTTTGTGGATGAAAATCGTCCAGGTTAGTAGAGTCCTGATAAGGACTGCTGGTATTGATGTAACGGTCAAGTGAGGAGTAAACATCAGAATAGCCGTATTTGTTATCTGGTTCTTACAGCATCGTATTGTGTAAAGGAAATGTGGGGGTTTGTGGGTTTCAATTGTGTATTGTTATTGGGGATTAGTCTGAAGTCATGAGTTAGTTTCTTGTTTGTTTGTGTTGTGATTAAGTCATTTGTAAGGTGCCGGTAATTGCTGTGATCTAAATGTATTACTTACAGCACTTTCTATAGACAGCGGCTTACATTAGAAAGTTGGTGCACCAACTTAAAACAAACCCCCCGAACAGATCATAAAATTTACCTGCACCTTACAAACGGCTCATTCACAATACAAAAGCAAGCAACTAACACATTACTTTAGACTAATCCACGGTAACAATACACAATTGAAACCCACACACCCACACATTTTCTGTACACACATTACAATGACGTTAGAACAAGATAACAAATACGGCTATTCTGACGTATGCTCCTTACTTGACTCTGAAGATGACTACCGCTAAGGTTATCGAAACCTAGTATGTTATTGAGCATCTCATATATATATACGCAAATTTTAAACACCGATTTTTCTGTGTGTAAACCATTGTTCCCATATAGTTGTAATTGTAAGTTAATCGCAGAGAAAGCAATCACTGACGTAAAACAATTGATATGGGAATTAACTCTAATCGGCGATAGCAATTGGCAAGAAATTTAATTATTCTAATCAGCAGATAGAATTAGTTGCTACGCAGCAGGAACTGAACTAGGACTTTTAAAACGTAATTCAAGAAACGCCAGAAGCGTTAGCTATCTTGGAGGGTCTGAGGACATACTCACCAGGAAAATTTTGATTTTCAACGTCTCGGAAGTGCAATATCTGGCATTTTACATCAAGTGCTAATCGTATTTTGTAGGCCTTGTTTGTGCATAAAACTAATAGTTTAGTGGCATTTTTAATTGAAATGGTGAACGATACTTACTTTGGCTGTTTTGCCCAATTTTGGGGCTACACAGCATACCTAGGAAACACATATTGCTAAAAGCCTTGGAATATGGAGTTACGACGCTTAAGTTTTAAAAAAGGAAAAATTATCAGAATCTTTAGTCAACAAAATCATGATGTTCTTAGTTATTGTATATTAAAACAAATAAAAATTTAAATAATAAACAAATCAAGAAATTTTTAAAAAGTTGCTAGTGGGCTCAGATTTTTCACCATTATGCTCTTTGGCCGCCTTGGGGCTCGTATTATTTTGTTAAGTTTGAGTTGAGATTCACGGTAGAAGCATGTACAAAATTTTCGAATAAAATTCACTAAACCATATTTTCGCGCACTTAAAAAATTAGCCGGACCCAAAGCTCATTCTCCCTTTTCATTTCAATCGATATTATACGCGTTTGCACCAAAATATAAGAATCCTTCTCTGTGCATGAAGAAAAGTCGTCGACTGAATATCGCCATTAAGAACACTAAGGTAGGCTAACGCATGTACGTGTTTTTTTTTAAATATCGGCGTTGAGAGCTGGGAAGCTATCTTTGTACTTATGGGTAATTATCCCATTTAATTACAACAATTACAACTATATGCAAACTTGGCTTATGCATTATGCTAGCATTAATCTTTTGTGAAAAGAAATTGGGCATGCTGCCAATATGCTGAACATTCAGCATCGTAATTACAATTTACAAACTTCCAGATCAACAATAACATGACATCAAAAATATGGTTGCTATTATGTTATTATGTTATTCCTCTTTCAGTTGAGTTTGAATGTGAGATTATAGCTATTGTTCACGATTGTTAACAGTACGTATTTGTTTCATATATTCGTCATCATTTCTCCGAGAATAAAGAGGCCCAAACGCAAACCTAAAACAATAATTTTACATACGGGGCGAGGGTACATTTTGCCAAATCTGTAGGTTAAAGGCACATATTTCGAAAATGAGTTTTCAATAAAAAAGGTTATTAAAAGAGAGACAAACGTCGTGAAAAGTTTTGTGTGCATAGAGATTTCTGCAAAAACGTTCCAGATAAAAAGTAGCTATAATTTTACATGACAAATAATCTCAATACATCTATATACAGTAGAACCTGTTTTATACGGTCACATATAGGGATTTTTCGTGAGACCGTTTATAACAGGTTAACCGCTCTATACAGGTAGACCGCTTATCATAGTTTTTTAGGAAAATCACAATACGAGCTACGTGTAATATTTAACAAACTAAAGTTCACCAATAGGTATTGCTATTTAACATACCAAATACCAACAAAATATAAAGTACTTTTTTTCTTAGTTTGAGCTAGAAATTAAAAATAAAATACATAAAAATGTCACGGCTCAAACTGCTGAAAAATAATCATTGGCAAGCGTGCAACAGAGAAGGTGGTTATAAATTACATATTCTGTGCGTATATCCCTTATGTGGAGATATGTTTTCTTGTCAATGGCTGAAGGGACGTAAGAAACGTAAATTGCTGGCGTATTTGTCCACACGAACAGAAAATATTGTTGGATCTTTTGAGTAATCTTACGGAAGATAAATACAAAATAATGACATGTATACAATATAAGTGAAATGTTCCAGAAAAATATTTAATTATATATTTTATTATGGGTGTATTTAATTAACCTGACCGTTTAATACAGTTTTAAAACAGTAAAAAATTAAGTTTAGGACATTGGAAAAGGTAGCGGCGTCCGCTTAATGGAGGTGACCGTTTAATAAAGGTAACTTTAATAATATTTACACTATGAAATTTTCGGGACTTTGCTATATAACCGCTTAACAGAGACTGACAGCTTAATACGGTGCCGCTTAATACAGGTTCTACTGTTTAAGTAAATTTACAAATATTTTATGTCTTGTAAACTTGCTCCGTGGCGTTGCGATGCACATATTAGTACATACATGAAATACAAAGAAAATTTGTTTTTGAAATCAATGTTTACGTCGAATTAATTTATTAAAACAAGCGTAAATGAATTTTGACCCCTCTCACCTCTCCCATGCAGTTAACTATCACGCTGCCAACGCAACTGAACTGGCTGTTCTGACAAGCAGCAAGGAGTTTTTACTTTCTTGTGATATTAATTTGCACTTGGCTTTGGTAAACGTGAAGTGCTATATCTGATATATTTTAATTTGCTAATAAAAGATTATAGCTAACTATTGTTACCATAGTTGTCTAAGGCTTTATTATTTTGAACAAATTAAACCAAACTCCTAAAAGTTTCACAGTACGATATTTTTTATAATTACAGGTTAGAAAAGTGGATCTCACATTTATTTTTCTCTGAGGATAATAAAGCACTTGGATTTCTTGGAATGAAGTGCTTATACGAATTACAAGACGACGATGAGATGAGATCAGCTTGCAAGTCAAATAATTTTTCTAAAACAATATCCATTGATAACGTCTCTTTCACGCCTCTTGATTCAAACGCCTTCTATGAATTTCTCTCTAAATGCCGACAATTAAGAAAACTCAAGTTTTTTTCATGCCAATTTCCGGATAATCATAGCGTCGTTAGATTGTCAAAATATTTGACAAATGCAAAAGCATGCAATGTATTCTCTTTGAAAATTAACTCCTGTCGTGTTAATAATATATCAAAACATATTAGTGAAGCTTTAAAAAGTGAAAATTGTAAACTTAGTAAATTGGAAATTAGAAAAAACAATATAGGTGAAGAAGGTGCTAAATATCTTAGTGAAGCTTTAAAAAATAAAAACTGTGAACTAAGTGAATTGGATATTCGTTTTAATAAACTTAAAGATCAAGGCGCTAATTTGCTTATTCAAGCTACGAAAGATGAGAACTGTAAACTTACTAAATTGAAGATTTCTGGCAACAACATAAGTAAACAAAGTGCTGAATCTTTTACTGAAGCTTTAAAAAGTCAAAATTGTAAACTTACTGAACTTGACGTTCACTTTCACACACTAAGCAATGAAAATACAAATTCTCTTAGCAAAGCCCTAAAAAGTGAGAATTGTAAATACACTGAACTCTATATTCTTGAAAACATTGTAACTGCTGAAGAGGTTAAATGTTTTAGCGAAACTTTAAAAAGTGAGAATTGTAAACTTATTAAATTGGATATTAGTCATACTAAAATAGCAGCGGAAGGTGCAAAGTATCTTAGTGAAGCTTTAAAGAGTGAGAATTGTAAACTTACTGACTTGTCTCTTTGCCATAACAATATAGGTGGTGAGGGTGCAAAATCTCTTAGTGAAGCTTTGAAAAGTAAGAATTGTAAACTTACTAAATTAATTATCAATGATAACAAGATAGGTGATGAAGGTGCAGAATCTCTTAGTGAAGCTTTGAAAAATGAGAATTGTAAACTTATTGAATTGTCTCTAAGCGGTAACAATATAGGTTGTAAAGTTGCAAAATATCTTAGTGAAGCTTTGAAAAGTGAGAATTGTAAACTTATTGAGTTGTCTCTTAGCGGTAACAATATAGGTTGTAAAGGTGCAAAATATCTTAGTGAAGCTTTGAAAAGTGAGAATTGTAAACTTATTGAATTGTCTCTTGTTTTTAACAAGATAGGTAATAAAGGGGCAGAATCTCTTAGTGAAGCTTTGAAAAGTGAGAATTGTAAACTTATTGAATTGTCTCTTAGTGGTAACATAATAGAAAGTCTACGTGTAAAATCTTTAAGTAAAGCTTTGAAAAATTAGAATTGTAAACTTACTGAATTGTCTCTTCATTATAACAATGTAGGTGATGAAGGTGCAAATTCTCTTAGTGAATCTCTTAGCAAAATCATAATACTAACCTTAATGATATTAGATATTAACTTCAACCATTTATAATATAGTTTAATTTGCTAATAACATTAAACATGCTTAAAGAAAATAAATTTGAGTGAATAGCCAAAATTATGTTTTGATAAAATTAATTATATTGTCTTGTTTTTTTTTGCGTGTAAAAAGCACTTGTCTTTATATCAATTTATGCTCTTTTGCCTAGCATGCTTTCAATGCTGAATCAATGTTCTACCTACGGCATATTTTAATCAAATTGCTTGACACATTGTTACAGCAACGGAGATATGTTTTTTGTTTTTTTCTCTTTGTATCAATTTATTGTCTTTTGGCTAGCATGCTGTCCTTGTAGAATTAGTGCTCTACAAATATGAAAACAAGTTTAAAAACTCCTGCTAATGTTTCAGAAGATTTTTTGCAGAAGCAAATGTCCACCAGGACATATAGATAGGTGTTAATTAAATAGATGTTTTCAGTTATAATTAACTCAACATTATACCGAACGCTTTGCCTCAGAGACGTGGCTAGCCTGCAAGTGTAATTTTTCAGTGTTGATTCTAAAATGTGTTAACTTTGGAAATCTTCTTGTTAGCAGGATGTTTAAAAGAACTAGTTTTGTGGCAAAACTAAATAATAATGCTGGTTATGTCAATGTGAGATCATGTTTTACTTTTCCTAAAGATTGACAAGCGACAATCGGTAACATAGTAATCTCTGAAAAGGCAGTAAAAAAATTATATGCAATGACCTTTGTGTTATGTTTTTGCTAGTAAACATTGATCACAAAAAAACTCATTTCAATATACTATATAAATGATTAACTGAATTAAAGCATTATGAAATGTATGTAGCATTGTATTTTATTGCAAATTTCAATTATCTGCATAGTTGACAAATAGTAAATTTCTATAAGTTGTCAAAACTACGATAGTTGCTGCAAACTGCGGGAAGTCAACAAACAATTACTAATGTTCATAAATAAATTTATAAATAAAATTTCATTATTATTGAGTACAGGTCTCATCTTTTCTTCACATTACTTATGATCACATGCCATATCAACTCGCAAGTGTCTTATACACACTTACACATGCTTACGAAAACTGTCAACTTTGAAAAATTTAGCTATTACACTACTCACCTAATTTAATTATATTTTCATCTTTTTTGTATTTTCTCTTAAAAATCTAATTGAATCAAATAACTACCAAGACTACACATCTCTTAAAATTGTGTTAAGCAATTAGATTACAAAATTTAAGTAATAAACGATTGATATCAACCACTTAAACTTCTTGACACTTTTCAGCCTTTGACACCTTGTAATTAAAGAAGCTTGTTCTTGCTGAAACTATTATGAGGCACTCACAAACTCCATTCATCGTTCACTTAAACACTCTCTCGTTCACTCACACACTCCCTCATCCACTCACTAACTCCCTTATTCACTCACACACTCCTTTATTCACTCACAAACTCCCTTGTCTGCACACACACTCGCAAGATGTAAAGCGTGAGGAAAGCTATATTTCAATGCTCTGTACAACTTTTCTTCTCCATCCGTTCCAAATGCCAGTAGCTTTCGTGCTTTTTTATTTTAACTGATGATCTTAGCAAAGAAGTTGTTGTATGCATCAAATGTCTTCTGACTCAAAAGTAACGGACCTATTAAAGTTGGACTCGTACTAGTAACACGATCAATCACTTTTAAATTGGAAAATGTCGTGACAGTAACAATAAATTTTCCAAAGTTGAGTGTTGGATCAACGCCAAATGTGGAACTGTTTGCTGGATCATTGGAAAAATTATCATATCTGACAAATGCCAGTCATATCCGAGAATATACCTATGTTCAGGGGTGCCCACAACTTCAGGAATAAACGGTTCTTTATCTTGTTGCAGCTGTTGTCGCTTGCACTGTTCAAGAAGAATGAACAACGAACTGTTTTCTTGAGTTTTTTTTCGGTTTGAAGTACCACGCCGTAAATATTTTGCTTGCGCATGATTTCTTGGTAAGTCGCTACGAAAACGTGCATTTATGATACCGCCCTTTCGTTTGTGAACAATGTGAACAATTGTTTCTTAACAATTTCGATTTCTAACTGGTCAGTCCCAGTGTTTGGAATACTAATTAACACAAATTTAAGCTACGTGTAAGAGGAGTGATAAGTTCTTTGTCCACAAAACAAAATTTGTTAAACAAACGCATATTTTAAGAATAAAGTTTTTTCTACCTTGAGGTGGCCTAATCAGATTTTTCAAAATAGCCTGTGATTGTGAACATGAGGTTGTCATTCCAGCGCTTTTAATTCTTTTCCACAGCCAAGAACAGGCGGATTGAATACCTGATTACTTTTCTGCAATTGTAAAAAACTTTACAATTGCAGTATCTTTACCACCAGCTAAAGATGGCAGAGCATGCGAGTCAACCACAAATAAAATTCCCGGTTTTGAACCGAGAAGAATGGTGTACGGCTCACACGTGTAAAGTGCAACGAAGCCAATTGGATTTTTTGTTTTTTCGACACCCTTTCTGAGACTGGATTTTTTCCACACTGGGATCGTGTGCGAAAGGTAGTTCCTCCAAAAATTCATAGTTCCTGGGCAAAATCTCATTACTATTGAGAATTTCATAGACCTCAAGAACATCGTAACGTTTCGAAACATCTTGACAACTGTTAATTTCCCGTGGAAATCTTTCAATGATATCTTCTAACAGTTGTGCAATTTTAGAACTTAATATGCAATCATTCAACAGCAGCTCATGGGCTATTTTTAGGCGTAGGAAAACACAAGAATTTGTTCCATCATTTTCCATAACTTCCTAAATGTCCACTGATGTAGGGGCAACAGCAGCAACAAAATTTTCCACTTCTTCAATGGATTTTAACCTTATTGTTTTAACCCTGGATTTATTAAACTAAAAACAACCAATCCGTATGCCCAAACGTCGCCTTTTTTTAGGTCTTCAAGTGATGCCGAGCTTAAATGACAGCTATCCCTACAAAATTTCCGGTGCCATAAAATAGGTGTTCCTCTGTTGATGTTTTATGTGCTTCTTGAAATTACTGTGTTGATACTAATTTCGTACGATCTGCTTTCACCAAAGTCTGTGAACATACATATTAAAGGAGCGCGCGAGCTCTCTTCCTCAATTTTCTCAGGATCATTCAAATGACTGTAGTGCTGGTTAGACACCAAAATGTTGGTAGGTTTCAAGTCTTTATAAAAATTACCATTTTCGTGAAGAAACTGCAAGCCTGATGCAATATCGTTGGCTGCATGACAAAACACTTCTTTGTAAATGTGAGAGCAGTCAGTGTGATCAAAACGTCGTAACAAAGCTTGCCAAGAGTTTACACTTTCTTCAATGCCAAACGGATATTGAAATCAAAGTAAACGTATTCCACGAGTAAGGCATATCGATCCGAACATATGCCATTTAAAGCCACTATGTTTTGATGCTTCAAACCATTAACTAATTTCGCTTCCTTGATACACTTGCGCTCAGTATCGACACAACGACTTTATTGCCATTACACGGTGGCTCTGCAGTGAATATTGTTGAAAACCCCCGATTTCATCCTTTTTTCTTAACTCGTCAAAATAAAAAGATGCACTCTATTTAGACCACCTAAAGACACTTTCATTTTAATACTTTTAATGCTTTTCAAGCTACTAAAACATCGACATCTTATCCTATTAGTCGAACTGCATAACTTGAATTTAAACAAAAAATGAATAAACCACTTTTATGAAGCGTGTTTAAATCAGGAAACCAGACGTGATTGTCAAAATTCTATTTCGCTACTTCAGTTTTTGACTAACATCACTTGCCAGTAAGACGTATATAAGCAAAGTATAGCTAGCTATATGCATGTCAATCATTGATCTCAATACTAAAATATGTCACTCTACTATTATGGAAATTTATGACTTATAAGGTAAAGTGTGTTTGCATCTACAAAAATATACATTGTATATTTTTAAGTAAACCAAAAACATATACAGTAGAACTCTTATTAAGCGTTTACCTTTGGGGATTTTTCGTGTGACCACTTAATTCAGGTTGGCCGCTTAATAGAGGTCTTTAGGAAAATCACCAGACGGGCTTGATATAATATTTAATATAACTTCATTTGGACCAAACGATATTTTTCCTCAACATACATGCTAAACAACTCATAACATAAAGTTTAAAAACTAGAAAATAGAAAATATAATAAATAAAAATGTCACGGCTCATACTGCTGAAAAATAATCAATGGAAAGCATATCAACAGAGAAGGTGGTTGTAACAAAAAGTTTTCATGTAAATATCCCTTTCTTGGGGATACGGTTTCTTTTCAATGGTCGAAGGGAAAGTTACCGTAGAAAAAATTCAACTTCATGTTATAATACGTCCACAAAAACAGATAATACTGTTGACACTTATGAGTGATTACGGAAAGTAACTGCTATATAAAAACTTTGACATGTTCAAGGTAAATGTTTAATTATATATTTTATTATAGCAGCTTGTAGGAAATACGATGTAATATATATATGATATTCTTATTATAAATATCAGAGCACAGCAAAGTGCTTTTAAAAGAGCCATTTAATACAAAATAACATATAGAAAAATATTTATTTAGAAGTGTAACGTTTCGTCTTGACTCTCAAGACATTATCAGACAGTATTAAATTACAAGTATGGAGGGATATATATATATAATAGCTATTTACATAATATTAAATTACATGGTGAGATGAAAACGTGATAGTAAATATGGGATAAGATAGTATGACGTGGGATAAGTAGAAACACGAAAGAGACAAAAAAACAACACACACAATCATAAAGTATACAGACTTGAGGACGGACGAAATTAGATTAAAGCAACTGAAGGACAATGAAGTTTCCTTGGACGCTAAGAGATGGTTTCATTTTGTTCATTAAGAGGCTTTCATGAATAAGAAGCTCTTGTGAGTCTGAGCATGAAGAAAGTATTTTAAAATCCTCGAAGGTTACGGTGTGTCCTGTGGATTTAAGGTGTGATAGTATGGAGGAATGACCGTGATGTTTAACAGGTTTACCAGTCAAAGGGGTGATGCCCAAATGCTCTGAAATTCGAGTGGGTAGGTGGCGGGTGGTTTGACCCACGTACGATGCAGAGCAGCATCGACACTTGAAAGAATAGACAATTTTTGAATTCAGACTTTTCGACACTTTGTCCTTGAAAGGAAACAGGCTGGAGAGGCGTTTGGTGCATCGAAAGAAGAATTCGTATTTCACATTGTGGGAAAGCGGCACGACAAAGGCGATTGATTTGTGTGCGGATTTGGAATAAGTGTAGACCAGTAAATGGAAGGCCGAAATACAGTATTTTCTTGGGTACGGTATGAACAGGTGGTTTGGGTTGAAAGACTTTGTCAAGAAACATTTTTACACAGTGATCAAATATGTGACAGGGAAATGGATTGGAAATAAATAATCTACACTGAAGAAACAAGCCATTGCACCAAAATCAAAACATGTACTTCCGCCTACATGTATCATTTGTAAAAAAGAAAAGTCTTTTGTGACTGAAGTGGTAAGTGACACATTTTTATTGTATTTTTCTTTTTATCGAAAGCTTTTACATCCTACATTAAAAGCTCGCTCATATATTTTTTCCGCGTTGAAAAGAAATTTTTTTACGTGAGGAACAATCTTTGTCTTCTTGATAATTAATAATTTCACCAAAAAATGTTCACTTATGACTAATAGGGCACTCGAAAGCGAAAGCTAGATCGACTGGTTATGGCAGAGACAAAAGATGGGGGTAAATTAAGAGAAGCAGCTAGGAGAAATTCAGATGAAAGTATACTTGTAAATATTGCTGATAAAGATTGTGTAGCTTTAGAGGTTAGGTATCATAGACGGTGTTACGAACGATACACTAGCTTTTTAAGACGCAGCAATGTAATAGATGAAGTTTATGATTCTGAAAACTATGACAGATACGCATGCAAATACGAAAAGTCCTTTGATGTTTTTTGTGAAAGATTTGTAAAGAAAAGACTGCTGATGAACGAAGAAATTTTTTTTATGAAGAGAATGAAAGCTGACTTTGTTAAGACAGTTTCAGAAATTGAAGGCACAGATGCGTCAAATTATAGAAATTTTCGATTAAAAGAGAGATTGCGAGAGAGATTCCCTCAAATTGTTTTCCTTTCACCAAAAGAACGGAACAAAAGTGAAATTGTATACGTTGAAGGTCTTTGTCGAGGAACTGTGGCAGAAAATTATTTAAATGAAGACACAGAAACTTCGCAAAGTGAGATGGACACAGAAGATGAATTTTTCAACAATGACGTTCCAAAAGGCAGCTGCAATAAAACGACGACCCTTAATGAAGTATTTAACGTAGCGCTAACATTACGGGGCAATCTACGTGCTAGTACAAAATCAATATGGTACGAAAACTGGCCGCCCTTGCTTCTGACATAAATAATGAGAGTGTTAGGAAAATTGTTTCGCCAACTCTGTTTAATTTCCTCGCATGGATGCTTGGTTTTTCAGACGACCCGGACTTGTCGGAATATGTTGAAGTAGGGAGAAGAACGCTATTAAACTTTATTCATTATGTCAAGATCTGATCAACGTTAGCAGTAAAGGAAAAATGCAAACGCCTAAATCCTTAGCCTTGGCAACAGCTGTTAGACAAATTTCTGGCTGTTCAAGCCTGATCAGCCTTTTGAACGGTCTTGGACACTGTGTCTCCTTGTCATCCGCAATGGCGTATGATTCTGCCCTTGCCCAAACAACTATTGATACATCTAATATTGTTCCCAAAGAGTTTGTAGAGAAAGAGTATGTTAACCTGATTTACGACAACATTGAGTTTGGCGAGGACATAAAAAAACAAACCTATGTCACAAACGGAATTATAACGCAGAAATTGTCAGGCCAGCAACACATAACAATTCAAAATTCCAGCATCGTCAAAAAGTCACAGCGAACTGTTAAGATGCCGAATACCAACATAGCAGAATATAGTGTTGGGGCAAAAAAGACTCCAATATTTTTTGATATCAATGAAGTCGCCCGTTCAATGCTCATTGATAGGAACCATGAGTTAAATGAAGCAGCTCACAAGCTTGATTTAGCATATGTTTTAACGAAAATGGTTCATGTCACTGATGAAACAGCACTGCCTGGATGGACCGGCTTTAACACCATGCTTATTGAAGAAATACCTGAGGTATCGAGAGTGGGTTACCTGCCAGTTATAAAGCGCCACCAACTGAATATTCTACAATTAATGAAATTCTTAAAAGAAGCAAGAATATCGCAGAGAAGCTTGACTTACAATATGCTGTCTTAGTCTTTGATGAAGCAGTTTACTCTAAAGTCCAGCACATACGATGGAAAGAACCCGTTTACTATGATAAACTGGTCGTACGTCTTGGAGAATTTCATACTGTCATGTCTTTTCTATCTGCAGTGTCAAAGCTCTTTGAAGATGGAGGACTTAAGGTGCGAATTCATATCTTAATTTTCACATATAAAACTTGTACAAGAAATAAGTGGCAATTAGATAAATACGTTTCTAAAAGTAATGATTCCGCAAAACGTTCTTTAGGATCTGTTAATTGAGTCGGGTGTTGTGAGCGAAGGATCCGTAAAGAGTGTCCTTTCTGGAAAGAATTACAATAGATCGATGTCATGCCATAAAATTTTGTACGAAGCACTGCAACGTTTAAGGTTTGAAGCATACCTGGATGATTTAGAAGAAGAAAAAGATGGAAGAATAATGGCATTCCTATGTGAAATGTCAAATTCGTTTCCAGATAAAGGTTTCCGCGATTGTATTGAAAGTGAACTGTTTGAGGAAATATGCGAAGAGTACGAAAACTTCATACAAAATGCATCCTCAAAATCAAGAACGTTTGCTTTCTGAGTATGTACATCAAAATGATAGGTAAATAACAATAAACCCTCTCATTTATTTTCTAGGTTGTAACAAGGTCAAATCTACAGGACATACACTTTGAATTTATCAATTTTAGATATACTTCCTACTTTTAGATATTTTGTTGATGTTTATCAGAG